TTGTTTCTTCTGCTATATAAAGGTATCGAAATTATGTAAGGTTTCATTTGAAAACATATTGATGATCTCAAAATTTCCTACAAAGAATGACATTAAAAAAAAATTATATAAGTTACATATCGTGACTTAACACTAAAATCACAAGACCGGTGAAAATGTTCCATTCCTGAATTCTTCTTTCACAATTATTGGAAAGATAACAGGTTAACAAGGAACCGTAAATTACGATAAGATAGGACAATGCCACATATAGCCGATCTTTAATCGTTTGTTTTGATTTTCGCGCGATTAATTGACTTATTGCCAAGGGGGAATAAAGTTCAAAGATGTGTTGAAGCAAATTTACATTACCATTGTAAATACTATGCTCAACTCAATGTATTTAAATCTATCGAGTTGTACAATTCTGTTCGGTAATCTCTGTCGTTATCACGAGTGGAATATCATTATAAGTAAGCACGATACGCTTTCGAACGACTGTTCAAAAAATCGTGGATGCGAAAATGACGAATACTATTGCCATTTGTACTGTACTTTTTTCAAGGCAGTTTCTTTGTTCAACTGTAAATATTTTACTGCATATTTTAAACACAACGTTGTATATAATGTTTAAACGTTACTCTTGTTTCTATCCGTTGAAATATTAACCCCCTGTCTTATACATAACGTGTTGGACTCGCTGTAAAGATTTTAAAGAGAATTTAACAAGGAAAAATATTACTCAATATTTTTGAATTCAAATTAAATATTATTCTTCTTCTATTATCAATAATTATACTTAAGAGCAAGCATAAGCAGAATATGCCTAGAATTGTTTTGTTTTTTCAATAAATTATTAATGGCAAAGTAGTTGTGTTGATCATAGTTGAGAAATAAGTCATAGGAAAAGGGGTTAACCTCCTGTCGCATTCCATTCCCGATTGGAAACAAACTCACAAGGAATGAACATTTTTTTTTGTCTTTGTACCTGCACATGTATGATGTTCCCTTACGGGGACAGTCATAAAATGCAATAAATAACACTGTTTATTAATATTTTCTTATTTATTTCATTATCACGTCAACATTTAAATAAAGTAATAGACATATATTTTTCTTTCACTGCTCATGCAATAGAATGTTTACAAATGTTTACAAAAAAATAACCGTACTAAGAAATAAAAAATATCTATATTTGTAATAAAATTGTTTGTCATATGATATATACCCAATCCTGGTTTTAGATGATAGATGCGTTTCGTATAAAACAAATTCGCGTAAATAAATTTACTGTACCTGTAGAAACATGCAGATTAATTCCTCGCCAAAGGAATTAATAACGTAGTACAATAATCCATATAAAAATTCATATTAGAACTTAGGTAATACTGTTAAATCAAACAAATCATGTAAAAATAGAAAAATAATTTGTGTTAAATCAGTTTCGAAGAAACCCGTTATTTATTTTGAACGTTAAATACACTATCTTTTGTAAACATTTTTCAAGGTGAGGTTTTTACATCTCTTTTACCTTCATCATTGAATTTTAGCACGAATTTCTTGATCCTACAGATACAAAAGATCTGACTGCAGTTAATCAATAAATGCGAATAAAAATAAAGTTACTGCTTTCAAACAATAATATGAAAATGGAATATAAGAGCCAAAAGGTATAAAAAGTAGGTATTAGGAATGATTTTAATAGTTCTACGAATACTTCCTATCAATGGCATAAACGTAACTTGCTGCTAATAGAAATTTCATTCATTAAACTAGCGAAATATTAATTGAAATCGTACCTCGATTCATTGCTAACAGAAAAATCGCACGAATTTTTTCTGGTATTTTAATAACATTATAAATTCAGAAATTACTGAAATCAGTAATGAGTACCCTTTAAGAAATATGAAGTTTATTTTTACAGATATCTCGAAAACTAAGGCCAGGCGGTGGTAACGCATGTGGGGAAAAGTTGGTCACAATGATGAGCTTAATAACATACTTCAAGTTCACTAAAATCGATGAAGACGCCCCTGTTCCTAATAATTACCTTTAATTATTTTTACATTAATTATTTACGTATTATACATCTTCTGGTTTTTGAAAAATTAAATTTTAATTATTAATATTGATTCTTTATATATTATTATTTAACAACGTAAATATACTATATTTATTAAGAGTTTCGTAATTATATATTTTGTTGAGGTTCTGAGCATTTTCTCCGACTCCGGTAACTTCAAGAGACATACGTGATAATAATCGATCAAAACAAAGATTGTTCTGTTCGAGAAAAGTATATGACGGTATGAAATGTGATGATATCTATGTTTGTTTAAATTCGTTTCGAAGGTAATTCGTATTAACGTAAAGTAACTTGTAACTGATATCAAAAAAAGTTCAATAATTAAATATACTATAATCTTGAAATAGATTTTAAAAAATCTATTAGTAAATCTAATAGATTTTAAAAATTTTAAAAAAAAGAAAAGAAAAAATTCGAGGACCGACAAAACCCATTTTGGAGTTCTATACAGACCTTTAAATTCTATACAGTGTGTATAAACATAATTATTTGAAAGAGAATGAATTATGTGTATATATATACTATTTTGGAGAAAAAATGCTAAACATTAATGAAAATATTAGGATGTGTAATTTGGGTTCCTACAACGTTAGGTGTTATCTACAATAATAACGTATGTACCGTTATGAAAAGACAACTTCTCAATGTAAGTACACAAACCTGATTAAACGACAAGAGTGCATAGTTTATTTTCAACGAACTATTGAAATTAAACTTCGTCAAATTCACATAATAAATTAAATTATAACTATTAAAAATACGTTTAAAGAATAATTATTTAAATTCAAATTGGACAGCTCAGTATATAAGAAATTAATAAAAGTAAAAACTGTTTCAAATAATTAAAAAAATACCACCAAAAACAAAATATCGTTTATATCGCCATATTTTCTACTAATCTATTTCGCATACTTATCTTCAGGTTAAAATATTACATTGATATTATAAGATAAATGTTATTAGTCCATCATTGGTGTACCATTACAAGTAGGACGCTAAATTTATATTCTTATCCTCCATGAGGAATGAGGACAAAATGAATCATTTTATTAAAAAAAAATATCGATAATTTTAATACACACATATAAATTATCTCGAAATTATCTACAACAACAATTTAACTTTTATCTAAATAATTGTTTAATTCGCTCAAACGTTTTATCTTCGATTAAATATTGATAATTTATGATGTTTTATCAAAGACTTATAACTGTCTGTTATCAATCTTGAGAAATACCTATATAAATTTCAGTTCAACGTTTTTGAAAATAAAGAAAATTATATGCATCGATCTGTGTACATATTACACTGTAACAGTGATTTGTACTTAAAAAATATATAATCGCGATTTTTTAATGGATTAATGAATTTGTTTAATATAGAAATGTACAACAGTTTGATAATGTTCGTTTCATTAGCCCTGAATGAATGAAAGATACAAAAGCATACAGTTTTTGATGAAAGAATTATATAGACAGCTATATATTTAAAATTAATTAAAAATTTTACAATGAAAACAAAGTACCTTTGATACACGAAAATAATAATCCTAACCCTTGGAGGACGAACATCATCATATTCACAATTTAAGGCTTTTATTTATTGATATAATTACAAATTGCAAACGACTGATTTAATTATTTAAATTAAGAAAATTAATATACCGTTTTCTACTTTTCTCGTATGTAAACATTCAACATATAATTTACCTCTTTATAGGAAAGGTTTGTTATAAATAAATATATAAATAAATTAAATTGAATATTACAAATTGATTTCAGAAATAATTAAACAACCTAAGATCCCTGTGAATATCAATGAATGTTGCACATGAAGAATACGATGAGTGTGCAAATGTTTATGCAAATTTATATTAGCATGAAATGTCAATAAAGTAAAATTAAATAAAATTTTATTTCCTGCATTAATAGTTTTAGCAAAATGTGAAAATAAAAATGATTGAAACGAAACGTATTCTTTTGTAGCTTTTTTATATTTTAATAAACTACAAGAAATTTGAATTAAAGTTAATAATTTGCTATTGTTTTTAGAAGTATTAAATGCTTAAAAACCGGTAACTTAACGATAAACATATAATTTAAAAATTTTCATTCAAATTTCCGTCGATAACGGAGAACGAGTTTTAAGCAGGCGAACCGCCAAACAAGTACTGTACCTGGCAAACTAAGGAAATGATGCAAGAATTAGAAGGTCTGTCTCCAGACACGCGCGTTGCGCTAAAACTGGAAGGTAGAAGCATCGGCGTTGGAAGGAGTGCCGTATCGTTTCTCCAAAATTGCTTGGCAAACATCGATATTACCAAATAATATGATAATCATTCGGCGAAATGTAAAAAAAATTAATAACAGGAATGCTGACAAATGCAGTAATGAACAATATTAACATAAATACTGTGTTTCCTTTTGTACAAAATTTGAAAGCCCGATTTATATACAATAATAAATTACTAATAATAATCTCAAAACAAATTATGTATATTTAACAATAATTTTTTAAGTAATAATAAATTTTTAGTAAGAGAAACAAATTTCAAAATAGTTCGTGCTAACGAAAAGTGATCTAAAAAATAATGAACTTGCAAAAATATTCAGTTTCCCAAAAGCCAACAAACACACTTTTAATTTTTATATTCGTTAAGTCACGATTAATTTCCGTCCGCCATTGCGTTTCCGGTGATCGGCAATCGAAATTTTCAATCGAAACCCGATCTACGATGTCTGATCTGTATTTATTCTACCCGGCCTCTTTTTAATATTAAAATGATTGCAACGCGCGGGGTTCATCGAACGCGCATCATGACGCAAGCGTCACGCGAACTAGACCGCATGGTGATACTAAATAAAATAGAGCCGGCGACAGCGGCCGTTCGTTCGTTCGTTCAAAAAAGAAACCGGTTGATTTTCAACATGCTTACCGAGTTCTGCATAGCATAAGGCGCCGATCAGCGACAACAACCCGGAAAATATCCATATGATCAACGCCTGGCCGACGCTATTACTGTTCATCAAGACACCTTTCGGCGAGACGAAGATTCCGGCGCCGACGATGATGCCTACGATGATCGCCACACCGTCCCATAATCCGAGTTCCTTTTTCAATTTGATGGTGCCGGAGCCGGAGTCAGATCTTACGGTCTTCAAGACCTGCTTTTCGGCTGGCGCGACTTTATCCGGCATCGTGCGTGCGCGTTTTCCTTGGGTTTTTCCTCGATTTCCCTCTGGCCGGAGCAGCCGGGTGCTTTTATTCCGCGCGACGTATTTCCCGGTTCACCGACGAAAAACTACTGAACGGTCCGACCATGCCGCGAGGAACAAAACGTCTGATATGCACGTGTGAAAACGAAAAAAGATAGGCAGAGAGAAAGATAAGGGGGGGGACTAAGAGAAGGGGAGAGAGGAAGAGGGAGAAAAGGACGGACCGCGTGGCGTCGTTTACTCGACGGATACACGTGCGCGACTAGTACTGCAATTCCGTCTGCAGTTACGACGGAGTCGCCGTCTCGCGGGCATGGTAACCTCCGAGCCGAGTTAGTTGGCCCACGCTGACTCGTTTTCTCCTTCGGTTGTTCTTCGTTTTTCGCACGCACTTCTCTGTTCTCTCCTTCTTCGATTCCGATTTGTTTGACGTTTGAATTTCAACGGAAGCGCGGGAAATGGCACGGCTTACGTTTTCCCGCGCTCTAACCTCTACAATCGCTAACAATTAATGTGTATTTTTTTTACCGATGTGATACTAGCTTCAGCTGTATGGATAAATCTAAACTGACGAATTAATTGATGATTTACTCATTTGCAGTAGGTGATAAATGTTATGTTATGTTTATAACAAACTATAAATCTGAGACTTTCTTTTTTGGCACTTTGACGGCCGCACTTTTCGCGGGAAATCGTCTGTTTTGGATGCTGGCATTTTGCGCAAACTCTTTTATGGAATGTCTACAAAAACAACCATAATTTTGATTTATATTTTTCATATTTTTTTGCTTTGTATAACATTTTGTAAAATACTTTCTATCTTTCTATATAATATATTTCGATTAGAGAGTAGAGAGTTGATACTGTAGGAAACTGTATTGAAAAAATAAGGTTTCAAATTTCTTGACTCAAGTAATGAAATGTTTCTTACCACGTTTATTTGAGAACTATTTGTATACACTATACCACTAACCACTTTTTTGTATTCGTTATAAGAATAATACCTAAGATGTACACGAATTTATTAAAAATATTTCCTATCATCTAGAAAATCATTTTTAGAATACAACTTGAATTAACACGTTTTAAAATATTAAATATAATTAGCGGATCTTTAGACTGAAAGATTAATTATTCAATTAATTGATTGATTCATTTTTTAATTAATTAAAGGATAGTATTATTAAAAAGACACGTACATATGGAAAGTTAGAATCAATGTACAGGATGATTTATGGATTTATTGATATGGTGTTTAATTGCGTTTACGGTGCTATGAAATACAGCACAATTGTAAACATGTGTAGTCATGATCGTGCGACACAAGTTGATAAGTGTTAATCACGAATACGTGACACCGGCCGCCAAAGTGTTAATGTGTTACGTGTCAATTGTAATTTCACATTTCCGACCAACACGGTTCAAACAAATTGAAAAATTATCGTTCCACACATTGGGACTGATTCCCTGCAATTAAATTATTAAACTCTTCATACATGTATGAAACATAAGATTGAAGCTATAATTAACCCAGATATCAAATTACATTCTAATGAGAATTTATCTAGAATGTTTCGAACTCGACGGATTCACTATACTGTGTATGAACTAAAAATAATAACACAATACAGGTACATTTAAAATCTATTTCACAAATCTGAAGTAGTTTAAACTACAGATGACAACATACAACTAAAATTTTGTTATTTAATGACCCTGGTTCGCGTCAGATACAAATGTTAAACATTATGAAGAATTGAAAGGTCAGATGTTTCGAATTCTTCCCGTTCCTGTGCTTTTCGTAAGAAACATTAGGATATCGTAGAAAGCATTATTTTTGAAAATTTTAAGATTTAATCGTTAAAATATTTTTCAATATGATTTATGGTATCCAATTAACATTATATGAAAATTCTCTTATCTCCCATAGAAGGAAAACGATAACCGTGAATAAAGTAACATCTGACTGCGCAATAGCTTAAGTTACCCTAATACTTGATCCTCTCACTGCTAACCAGCGAATGTTTATACATATTCTCACTCTCGAAGACTATTTATCAAGACACGTGGTGATAGAATCTCATTACTGAGATTGATTTTATTGCTCAAATCATTTATTCACCTAAATATTGCATAAAAACATGTTTAGCCTTTGCTGAAGCGTACGTTTCATTGAACTTTAAACATTTGCATACGCTGTAGTTGATTCTGTTTGTCATAAATACATATAAGTCGCAGTCCATCCGACACCAACGCATAAATCAGAAAAACGAATCAGAACACAACCCACTGTCGGGTCAAGACCAAGTTATTAATCGTGTTTGTCTATATTTGGGTAGTTGTGATTTCGTAGCCGCATCCGCCACTGTAGAACTTCATAAAACGATTTCATCGTCATGGTTGACACAATATCGCGTTCACCCACAGACAAAGCATGCCCGCGTTCGCGTGGTGGTTCGGTGTTTTATTTAGATTCCGGTAATCCCAAATTTTCCACTGTATAAAACATAGTACACGTTTCTAGCAATTATGCAACCGACGAGGTTGTGCCGAAAAATCGCAAGGCTCTGACCTGTTCGTCGATCTTCTCACCAATTTCTTACTTTGCGCTGACAACATTCGCCCGTTCGTTGTCGAACGAGGCGACGCGATAGCGGCGTTTTTAATGGGATAAATAAAAATCAGAGTTTCGTTGTACGCGACCGCACCGTGCGTTAACGCCACCCATACTGCGTGTGCTAATGCATCGCGTCAAAACCCTGGGAACGAACGTTCTGTCGCATTAGCGTCGACTCTGCCTGAAGAGGAAACGCTGTGCTATGCTGGCTCTTCGATCGTGACTCGACTCTGGATTTTATGTATTTATTACGCGATTAACGAGACGTCATTACATTGAACGGCAAACAATTAATTTCACGAATATTCAAGCTGATTATCGACTTTAAACAATTCCTAAATAGAGAAGTACATTCCTATTCGACGTTTGTTCTTGTAAATTACTTCAGAAAAATAAAATGTTGGGTAAAGTATCGCAGTCTAATTAAGAACAAAGTAAAATTCTCCTTCTTCAGATTTTGAATATTATAATGTTATTTAAATATTAAGTAATATTTTTTTTATTTCTATTCCTTCTATTTAAAAAGCGAACGTAGTACGTTGTATTCAGCGATTTTTAGGAAGTATCTTTGAAATGTTATTATATGCAGATCTTATGAGTGGTCTTTCTTTTTTCTTTGACGTATCAATTGTTGGATGCAGGGTAACTTGATATACACATGTGCTTGACCATATATACGAATAAGTTTACATTTTCTTTAATTCTTTTTTCAACAATTTTTTCATTCATTTAAATTCACTTTTAATTGTATTTATGGCAACGCGAAAAATTATCCAGTCATCAAGTTAATGCGCTCAAAAAATTTAAGGTTTTTATTAAGTAAATTGTGAATGGTAACTTCTTCTTGCGCGTTAGTTGCAACGGAACTGATAATTTGTTACGGGCGATTTCTGCTATCTACACCAGTGTCTACGTCCGTTGCAACATTGTCGTGGCACTTCCTTTCATTTTTTTCCATTAATTGAATGGAAATACACATTTCAACTACCGAGTGTATTTTCTTGGTTCTGTAACATATTTAACGAACATATTCCCTATTTAATTTTATACTTTTCAGTTATTTTTTAAAATTGTAGCTAATCATGGATGATCCTACGATTACCTTGCCGACTTCTGTTGGTTGACATATTATACATACATATTGACACTATTTACTCGAGTATTAAATGATAAATGCAAAGAGTTAATCAACTTTATAACAAATGCAGATACGCAGCGGCTTAAATTACTACTAGTAGGATTAAGTTATCACGTGTTTCTTCCCGTTGACATTTATCAGCGACATTAAATTGCACGTATCATGATACCACATGCATGCATAGTAACACAATAAGAGTTTTTCCTTATTTCTTATCCGCCTTTAAACACCGTATCAACTTCCAAGACATACTGATGCGTGAAACAAAATATTTGAATTTTCAAAATTTCTAAGCTTTTATGAGACTCAAAGTATTTTTTTTTATAAAATGTTCTTTTTCGTTTCGGGGAGGAGCGAAACCATGTTGCTGTATTAGTAGTAAGAATTAAAACTAATGTAACCACAATTATTTATGAAAAGATTTAAATATATTTTGAAATAAGAGTAACAAATAAAGTTTGTAAATTATTACTTAATAAAATGTATGAAATAAGTTTGGCGGAAATAGAGATTTATGAAGATAATATTTGAAATGAAATTTAGAAAACAAATTAATTTATAAACTCCTTTGACAGTAATATAAATTAACAAGTAAACATATTTTATAATATACATGACCTTTTTTAGTTTCCTTATCAAGGATAGGAATTACAAAATGAAATGTAGTTGATTGGCAACTTTAAAGTTTTTATTTTTAGAATCATTTTTACCAAATTAACTGAACATTGATCATATAGGATTTGTTATAATACCCACCAAATGTCTGTTGAAACTTGCATTATCTTGTGTCGAAAAAGTTTAAAAGTATATGCTAGGTGTTAGACTCAGATTTATTATTCCTGAACCACATTTTCGATTTTAATCTGTTATCAACGATTATGATGACAATAATCATTTGTGTTTACATTTTAGTTGGAGATTTATAACAAAAACGAAATATTCCCATCTTCTAATTTTACAGAAGATAGGTTTACTTTTATACGGTTTCCTGCAAATATAAACGTAACGACATATATTCGGAAACGAATATAACAACAACAATTAATTATTTATTTATAATTATTTAAAAATAAATTAATGTGAAAACCAATGTAATTATTGACTATGTGAAATAAAATGACATATAAGAATAGACACTTTATATAACATTAAAAAAAATTGAAGCAAATACATAGATTCTAATCTATCTGTTTAATAATTTGAAATTATTAATTACCCGTGAAGAAGTATTAATGTTTTCGTAATTTATTTATACATTATATTTTTATGTACAATTGTTAGAAATAATGATTACAGAACGAAAACCGAAACACGAAATAATTTAATTTACTAACAAGTGATAATTAGACGAGTAGCGATTAATTAAATACTGTAAAATTAAAATAAATATGTTGCTGATAGAGTCAATAATAAAGAAGCAATAAAAGTAGGGATGATGTAAATGTAAATTGAATAAACAGGATCCTATTAATTGTTAGATAAATTCATTGACAAGAACGAAGAGGAAAATAAATTTCTATATATTAATTTTTAAAAACTTAGAAAAATATATCTAATTTATAATTTTAAAATGATAATATATAAAAATTTATAGACATTTCGGCAACATATGTATAATTTCATGCATGACAGATGTATTATATATTAAGTGATACGTGTATATCATTATATGTATTTTGTTTGAATTTTTAATTTCTTGGAAACATATCTAGTGAGTATGTTTTTATGTTGTTATATTTTAAAATTGTGGATAAACTGCAGTCACAGTTTTATAATATATAATCAATCGTCATTAATTATTAATAATTCAATTCAAATTAACTTCTGAAACTACTATTACTCGCGGCTATTATGTCATTTAGAATTATACTATCGCGCACTCTGCAGTTTCTTGTTGAAGCTTGTATAACTCGAAAGGTAATGACTATATCTTAGATTAATCAGTGAGCTGTTCTATTCGTTCGTAAACAAATCCGTTTAATTTGTTTAGTATCTCTAAAAATGAATAACGTTGAAATCGAGGACTATTATCATGACTTTACCACGGCTTCAGAATGGGAAGTGTTTATTGCACGTCTTGAAGAAATTATGCACGAATGGAAACTACCCAATAGGAAAATTGGTCCTTGTTTAAAATCCGGTGATTTTGTCAACTGTCAATGGGAAGAGAATTTTGAAAAACTTCATTTTGCTGGTTTGTATATCTATACTTGTCGTTAGTACTTCTTTACATCAAAATGTAATGTATTTGAGAAAACCATATGTTCTTCATGACTTCACAAATTAGGGAAATCAATGCAAACAGAACTTTTTTTCCATCTTAGACGCAGAATTTGAGTTAAAGCATTTTCGTTTGAAATTGGATGAAGAGGATGTGGAAAGTGCACTGGAAGAAAGCGAAGATGAAAAATTACAGTGCCATGAGGATGCGATGAATACTTCCAATGATTTTACCCGAGTAGATGGAAATCACGTAGAGATAGCTCGCTACTATGGTGTCAGAGAATTTCTTGTTTTACAATCTGCTAAAAAAGAATCTGTGATTGATGAAACTAAAATTAGAATTTTGCTTAGCTCATTAGCAATTGCAGCTACTAATGCTAATTGGTAATTAGAAAATGATTGTGTTTAACTCTTTATTCTTGTTTAATCAATCTTGATACTAAAAGACTATTGATGACATGAAGTGCAATATTTGTATAAATGTCACCATGATTGACTGAGATATGTTCTACTCATTTTCAGAAACTCAACTTATATGATTAAAACCAAAAATAAATTCTTAATGCAATTATTGGTTAACAGTTATGTGCTATGTAAGGGTATACTCGTTACTTTATTAATATACTGTGTATATATATATATATATATATATATATACACACATACACACACAGTACATATACCTTATGTTAAGAGATAAAAGAAAGCATTTCTCAGTCAAAATATTGATACTAACAAAGAAACATCGGTAATGTTTATTAAATATTTGTAGTGATATACCTACACTGCTTCAAGTGCAAGAATTATGGCAAAAGATGTATCTGGGAACTAGTATTGGGAAAGGAATTTGCACTCACTTCGACATGGTGCATTTGAAAAAAGTTCCTCCACACTGCAAATACCTTACTGGTATGAATATAGTTTGTAGAACAAAAAGATAGAAGTAATTATAATGCTTTCATTTTCTATAACAACATTTATAACAATTGTTTTATAGATAAGGATTATTTTTAGGTTTACTAGCTTTGTTCCAACAGAAAATAGGAGAAGGTTGCGGTGCAAGGTTTGATCCAGTAATGATATCTGTGAGGTTTTCATATTTGTTAAAAGATTGGACTACTAGTACATGGACTCAAGAACCTCCAGATTTTGATTTTATGCAGGGAGAAACATTAGGTGTAGTTGAACTTGGAAAACTTCCATTTGGTGCCACATATGATCCCATAGCGTAAGTATTTTGTACAAAAGAAAAATAACTAATATATTCGTTATTTTAAAAACTTTCAATTATTTGTTTCAGAGAGCTCCACTTATTTACTACGTGGCCTGAAATATCAGAGAATGTAGTAATCGATAGCGAAAGTTTTACAGACTTAGAACCACAGCTAGCACCCAAATGGTCTGTACAAGTTAGAATGGTGCCTTCGCCGGTTTGTCTACTCGGAGAGTATTTAACAGATTTTCTACATGTGTGTAACAATATGAAAACTGTAGCAGATTTGCTTGGGGATGGAGCGATGTATCCTGAATTCGAAGATCAGCAGTTAAGTTCAGTTTTTAACATATTAACAGAATCTTCAATACCTACGATTTCAACAGTGGTCAGCAGAGCGACTATCAAACAGAATAAAAACGTTAAAAACGTGGAAGGCCCAATCCAAGAAGACATATTATTGTCTATGTTATATTTTCTGTTTCCTGATGCTGATAAGAACTCTGTAAGTTATGTTGTTAAATTTTCATTTCTTTTTGGAAAATTTCAGAAAAATCGGTGTAAAGCAATAGGACAAATTATTGTTTTAGAAAACTTGCTACGGGGACACAAACACCTACAGCGCGGATGAAGATCAATGGAAAGGTGTGAAAACATGTGCTATGGACAGTTTAGTTTGGCGCCTCGCTGTTGTTGCGGCGCATTGTACACACAATCTTGGAGGTATTGCTGCCTTAGCTCAATTATGGTACGAGTTTGTACAAGAAATCAGATTTCGCTGGGAAAGGAGCATCCTCATACCTGGGTAAGTTTTGTACGTTTTATTAATTCACCGTCGGATAAAAATGTTTCCAATATCACCAGTCATGGAAAATGTGATAAAGTAGTGAAATGGAAAACTTTACTAACTTTTTTTTATTCAGTTGAGATTGATAAGAACGCATGGTACACAATGTTTCATAGGATCTATGCATTCGGCTTTAATCGTTTATTCTAATACCATACTTATAAAATAGGTGCTATGTAAAAATATACAGAAACATTTTGCTCATAAAAGAGAAATCTCTTATTACCAAGGTATATCACATGTTGTGAAATACATTGCACGCCAGTTCATTTCCTTTAAACATATATAAAAACACGATCTCTTTAAACGGGGTCTTTATGATACAGTCTTTGGATAAGAACACATCCATCACTTGCACGCATTGATCCCGGCTCGTTTACGGCTTATTCGTAAAATTGCTTCTAGAGATCGTGTGTCCGAGCTAATCGAGTTCTCAGCGTTTGATTCAACCACATATGGTATATGTGTTCTTAACATGCAGCTTAAAATACTTTGCGTCAATTCTCTTAAAGCTATACGTGTAGAACGTCTTTGTCGCGTTGCTACGTTTACGCGATTATTACACGGTAATATTCGCGATAATGTATAGTTGGTGGACAGAATATAGCAAACTTATAAAGAACCATTTCAATTCTTACAACTAGACGATAAATGTTTGCTTAAAGAACGTGCTGCACTTTGTATGTATTTATGGTAAATATACGTTACAACAAATCGCATCGTATCATTTATTATTCGATAATCAAATAAATGATATAGTTCTTAAAAATGTATTTAAAGGTCTTCATTTCAGCACATTCACACCGATAAGAGTTCTAAATGTTTTCTACGATTGAAAGTAGTTCAATCCAATTAACGAATTCAAAATGATACACTTGGATTTATCGTAACAAAACAATTTTTATAAATACATATGTACAAGTTGCTGCTCTGTCTTATGTCTTCTCTATATGCTCCCTAAAAATTAAAATGGATTTTAATCTATCGACGATCTCCATGGGCAAGTTCCCAAACCTTTCCATGTCAAGTATCAACGATAAAGGCGAAGATCACTATGAAATGTGAAAAACACTTGCGCACTTCACATGTGCATCATACGCAAGAAAAATGTTACAAGTTCACTGTATCTTATCCATCAACTTTGAATTTCTATTGTTAGGCTAATCAACGTTAAACTATGATGTTCCCGCGAACTCTGTATTTTTTAAAAATTGTCATGTCGCACGTTGCGCTTAAGTTAAGTAGGAGCGGTCCAACCGCTCGAGATAATGTCACTGAACACGTTTGAGCAAAACTATACGCACACAGTGCGTCGCGCTAGAGTGGCATCAGACCATTCCTCGTGGTCGGATTGCGTGCCATGTATATATCCATGTCATGATCGGTCCAATTGTTCTCTTCATAATTGTTGAGAGTATGCGTTGAGTCGGCAATGCTATATCGGCTACCCGGTCTTGGCGGGTTCTGCTCTAAAGTACGGTTGCAGGATCGCGGTCTCTGTCTTCTGGACGAAGTGTGAGATGTCATGTGACTCGGGGAGAAATTTGTTCGTGACATCCTGTCTGAAGCTGCTGCCAGGGACTGTCGAGATTGTCTTAATTCTGCAAAACAAAGTATGATTAAATAAGAACAGCTTTATCACGCAACTTTCTGAAAGAAGTCTTAAAAAAATTTTTTTTAATTGAGTATATTATAAAAGATGACAAATCAATCATAGTAACTATTCTACAATTCTAGTGATACTTTGTATTCAATTCTGATGAAATAACACTGGTTGTTATTTCAGAACAACTATTTATAACTATTGTTTAAAAATATTAGTTTATAAAGAAATGTTTAGCAATTGGTAGACATATGAGCTAAATGTAGTTTAAACATATGAGTATGTTCAATTTTTTCAAAAACAATGCTTTGTAGAACAGCTTATGGTTTGTCTTATCAACTTTTGTTTGACCGTGAAATTATTGTCAGTTGAATTATATTAACAATTAAGACATACATTGTGTTTATAGAGCAATTAGTTTCTTGATGCTTACCTGGTCTAGTATTTGCCAAATTGGATGATAAAGTGTTATTTGTAAAGTACCTCGTAGAAGTATTGGAAAAGCTGTGTTGTGACTGACCGTCAACCACAGACCTAGTTGATATCTTCCCACTATAATGTCCTGTTTGAGATCTAACATCATCAATGCAAGAGGCTCTCGTTATTGATCCTAAAAATAGACGATCAATAGTTTAGTCCAGATTTTTCTAGGTAAATGTCGATATCTCTAGTAAAAAAAATATTTTTATAAATGCCGTTTCTCTTCTTCATTTTAAAGTAGCAATTGCTACTAATAATAAACTCAACCAACAGTGTTCTTAAATTCTATCGTTGAGAAACTCCAAATTTTAACAAAGTTATTCCACTACATTATGGTATTATATTATTTCACTACATATGGTATTCCACTATATTTCGCAACACGGAACAGGAGACTATGTAAGAATAAAAATTTCGTTGTTCACTATTTTTCGTACATACTTCTTTAACCAATTAATTGCGTTTGACGAGTATACACGCCATCTTAAAATTAAAATAATACTAATTTTTTCAACGATCAATTATTTATTTTTCAGATAAATATGTACTTCTTCGTTTTGCTTCAGTTTTTTGTTAAAATATATTATAGCTGCATTTGGTTTGCGTTTGACGAGTATACACTTCACTTTCACTTCATTGCGAGCATTATTAGAGATTTTTCAAATTAAATTCCATAGTTAACAGTTAAATAAAAACGGTTAAATATTGCCGAGAAACCTAGGTCTGCAAGTGTTTATAACTGAAGTTAGTACAATCAAATTCAAAGTTTATTACTTTATTGTATACACACCTTGTCGATCTATAGGAAATATTCTTGGTCGTGGTATGCTTCTGTTGCTGTATGCAGACACTTGGTCCCATTCTTTTTGAGCATTATAAGCACTGAGTGTCGCCATTGAGGACAACGGGCCACCAGGGCTGGGCGTTGGTCCCACATTTGAGCAACAGTTTACGGGCAATCCGGTAATAGGTCCACCCATTTTCGTCTGGTCTATGCTGTGAAGCGTGTGAAGTTTTCTAGCTCTTCGCCGATTTGCCACAATAAATATTATTACAGCGACCACTATCGTAGCGCATATGGCTGCGCTGGCTGCGATCGTAATCTTGTCCATATTGGATGTCGGAGAATTTTCCGTTCTTACTTCTCTGCATTGGTTGTAGGGAACGTTCGCTGGAGTAATATTAGTTTCCTCCAACGACACCACGCAAACCACAATGCATTCCTGCGATCAGAGAGTAAGAAATTTATGCTCATTCTTCTAATTTACTTCTCAATATTTTACAATTTCACCCTTTTTATTTGACCTTGTTTAACACGTTGACGTCGATGCTGCAATTTACGTTTTTGCCCATCTGGCAAGGGAATTCTTGAAATTTTTGAAATTATTGAATGGTCAATAAGTGAATCAATTTTCAACTATATATACACGGTAATTTTTTCTACCAAATCAATTTAACGAACTACATATTTCATGATACACGCCGTCCGATGTGATTTCAAAGTGTGAGCCATCGGTGGTATAAGACGGCGTCAATGTGTTAAATAAGTCGTTACTAGATTACAGATTTGTATGCATCTATAGAAGATTTGAAAATGCAAAATTACATTTAACTGTGATGCTTTCTATAATATTGTTAAAAATATGAATTCGCATGAAACTCCACGGTACAATTACCATAGATTGACAAGTTAGGTAATGTTTTCGTAAATCCAGATGAAGAACATAATACCATTAAAATATGTTACCTGCGAGGGAACATTTTTAATCTTGAACTCCCTTTCGCTAGCCTCCAAGGGCGGCGCTTGCTTGAAGCTGTTTTCGCCGAACAACCGATAAATTACTTTGAAACCTAAGATATTGCTTGCTTCCGTGTCCCAATAGATGACTACGGCGTTATCCTGCCTCAGTACATCTTTGACTATGATGTCTTTTTCGTTTGATTTGGCTTTGTAGAGAGGCGAACCTAGCACCAACGGTGGTCTCGGCTGATGCTGTTGCATCTGGTCCTGGATGTGTTTAGGTGGGGTCGGGGTAGTCCTCATTATTACTACGTTGCCCGTCCTTGCCGCTGTCGGTCTACTGGTAATGGATCGCAGGGTCGTTGTAAAAGGTGTTTCGATCCTTTTCTCCTCGGTGGTGAAGGGTGTAAGTTCCGTGGTCGTCGTGGTTGTTGAGCTTGTTACCGTCGATACGGCGACCGAAGGCCGAGTGGGTGGACTGTAACCGGTCCCTGTTCCTCCAGGGCCTGTCGGTTCTCTAGTGTCCACACTTTCTACCGTACCGATTCCAATGATTTCCGGCGTTCTGTCGCAAGTCATTTCTGCGAAATAATAAGAAATCGTTGCAACAATTTTTATTGTAAATCATTTCAAGTCATTTCATTTTGAAAATGTACACTATACTTTACAATAATTGTACAATTTGTGGAAATATGCGATATGAAATTGAGTCCTTTCGAATGTTCAAACTTCGATTGACTTCTATCCATGTAAACTTTTATGAGTTTATGACTTAAAAAAATTGCAGAGTATAAATATTAATAAAGTAACATAGCTCCATACTATTTTCGAACTAATTCATTTTTGTATGAAATAGACTTCCGTTTGTTTCCACCATTTCACGATTTAGGTAATCTTTTCACGAGGTAATGAAAAGAGTGCCTGTTTTATTTAAAAATATATACAACTGGTTACTTGCTATATTTATTTATTTCTCAGTTTTCCATATATGTTTCTTCGTACTCAAATTAAAAATAAAAATGAATCAAAGATAGTCTTCACAACACTTTTCTTATTTTAAAAACGTGCGAGATCCACTTTTTCCCAAATATGTACAATTATTGCAAGCACTGTATCAGTTCCAATGGATATTCTTTTGATTTATTAAAAAGGAAATCAATGTCTCGCGAAAAGTATATAGTTTTTCTCATTTCAGTTTAGAAACTTTTGTAACAAACACTCTATTGATGCATTTATTACCGTCCGGGTCGATGTTATAAAAACTTTTATCCTGCAGCTTCTGCGGACTTCCGCAAAACTGCGGTTTCCGTTCCCGGCTAGTAACTTGTAAGTCTCTTGTTTTTATCCAGTCGACAATCCATTGCAGCTTGCAATCGCAGACCAGAAAACGACCCCCTAAACTGAGACCCCGGAGAGTCCCGTTTAATCGGGCGAGAGCTTCTTCCGGAACGGTCGACAGAGGATTTCCGTCGATCGCCAGAAGCGTTATCGATGGATTCTTTTGGAAAGCGTTCACCGGTAGTTCCGTTATCAAATTGAATCCAATGTCCAGTACCTGAAATATAACAGGAAACGAAAGTAGAAAGCAGAAATGGACGCTAGATTGCCTACACTGCGATAATCGTTTCACAATATGACCAATGTCTCGTTCATTTTAAAGATCGTTTAAACATGTTCAGATATTTTATAAAATATTGTAATATTAAAATTATAATATCTCTATAAAATCTCTGCCACGTAAAATTATACTATTTTATAAAAATAATATCATAATTTTTGTAAAATAGTTTTTACAAAACAATTTTACTTAGCAGAGACTGTAAACTCATTTCCCACGAACAATAATTTTCACAGTTAACCTACAACGAACGTTCAACCTTCAGAAACGGTTCTCACATCTGTATTCAGCACACGAAATTCCACAAGAATCGACCATCGAATTTTGGAACACAAAAAGAAAGTCAACGTTCATTGAACAGCGATATCGAATACATTAGGACGCTCCGTTGATCAACCGCTAATTCCAAGTGAGAGGAACGCATCACGCTATCCGGTTTCATATATTTTTACGGCCAAGCCTATTCCATAGGAAATTTAATTTTCGTTAAACGAGAGAAGAAATGCTCGTGAACGTACCCTGAGATCCTGAATGCTGTTTATAGCGGCAGTAGGAAAGTCCGGAATGAGGTTATTCAACAAGCTTAACGAGCTCAGCGTGTGCTTGATCCCAAAAAAAGCATCAGGTCCGATGTTCTGAATCAGATTCCTCTCGAGATTCAATCCGGTCAGAGACTCTAACCCCTCGAAAGCCTTCGTCCCCGCGGATCCAGGAAGCTCCCGTATGCTGTTTTGCGATAAATCGAGAAAGGCCAACGTTTTCAAACCTCTGAGCGCTTCCGGGACCTTCTTTTGCCTGGTGCCCTTTAAATTCAAATTCTTCAACGACCTCTCCAAGGTTCGAAACGCGCCTGGCGCCAGTGTGACCTCGTTATCGCTGAGCTTCAACGTGACTAATTTCAGGCCAACAAATGCGTTGTCGTTCACCATCGTGATCTTATTCATCGAGAGGTCCAACACAGTCAAATTCCGTAGAGCCTTCAGAGTGTTGCTAGGGATTTCTGATATGTTGTTGTTCTTTAGATTCAAGCTTTTCAAAGAGTTCTCTTGGCCCTCGAAAGCTTCTGGCTCGATTGTCTTGATTTGGCAACTGGACAGTTGCATGTTGTTCACTTTGAACGCCGCGAATGAGCCGTTCTTCAGGGTTCCGATGGTACTGTTGTTGATGTAAAACAGATCTACGGTGCTCTTGGAGGCGTAACGCTGCATGGCGGACACGAGCTGCTCGTAGTCGACGATGTCGCATTGCACCGAGAGATCCTTGGCCAGATTGTAGTCGCAGATGCAGGAGCTCTCGAGCTCGGGCACCTGTTGCGCCCATGGGCAGCTCGATGTTGCCGTCGCGGTGGCGACGATGCCCGCGAGCACCAGCAACACCTCCGTTGGGACCACATCTGAAAATGTTTGACAGTTTGTTGAGAAATTAAGAAAGAAAACGTTCTACAATTACAGTGAGTTACAAGGATATTCGTACCTCCTGAACTGCCGACTTTGAACGATTGATATTTGTTTATAATGCAAGTTTCAAAGTTATTATAAACAGGAGTGTATGTTGAAATTACGAAGCTTTCAAACATATATATATATGAAACTTTAATTTAACTTTAATTTATTTTATTCACTTTAACTACAATGTAATTTATTTTAACTTAATCTTAATTTATTGTATTTATTTTATTCCATTTTAATTGACTTTAATATTACTTTATTTAATTAGATAAAAAATCCTAATCTAATCTAAATTATATCAACACATTAGAACAATTTGTTGTAACAGGAGTTGAATGAATCAATCTAGATATAGAAGTCGTATAAAGTTTAATGAGACTTTCATTTCACTTGAAATCTTATAAAATCCTGATGTATTGATTAAATTTGTGTAACTTATGAAGAAAGGCTCTCACATTTCAAGAATTCTGATTTCAATGACATTTCAATGGAATCGTAAAAAATGTTAGAATACAGAAAGAAAGGTCTCGGAATACTTTTTGAACCATGATTTACATTGACGACATGAAATTAGTATTTAAACTTAACGTTATGTTAACTTTCTGTTTAAGAGATGAATTATTCAGGAGACGAATAGATTTCTTACAGGAATGGCTTATTACGGTACAAAATTAAATAATGCTTAAATTTAATCTTCTGAAAATTATGCAATTACGTATGTATGAATTTTAGATTTCTTCAGCATAATCAATAAATTTATTTGCAATATATTTTCTACCAAATCTATAGTATAAGATTGAAAACTTTTTCAAATATTATGCCATGAAAATTGATTGTAGCAAAATCTTTACAATTTGCTACGAATATTTGTATTATTATTAATAATAATAACGTTTTTTTTTACACCATATAAATAGGAAGGTGTTATATACATGATCAAATCAGGTCTTAGCTTGACAGCTGATGAACTTCTTCTAAACAAAACCGAAGAAAATGATTTTTTTATAAATTAACAATAACATAAATTAAAATGAAAATAGATCGCACTGAAAGCTGTAAAAACAAAAACATAGATAACAGGCTAGAATATATTAAAATGGTTGGGTCATTTTTGAAATTAGGAAATTTTTGACGGAACCCATATTATTATATGATCTTTATGCAATTTAACACTTATGTATTTAGTTGACGTGACAGAAATAATAAAGAATGAGATAACCGTGTTACAAGGACTTTCGCGTACCCCTAATATACCTCTGAATCCGTATAATTGCTGCGATTCACGATGAATTCTGTGCATTCTATTTTTTTGAACTTTCTCATTCGGAATTACGGTTTCGTGTGCATCAATGCAATACATACCATTTTACCGTTTTGCGGCGATATCGCGACGAAAGTCTCGGCAGCTTTCCTACCGTGGATCCGTCGTACGACTTTTCATCGATACTTTTCGGTCGGTCGAACGTAACAATTTCACGGAATAAAAAGTAAAATGGCAGAACTCGAATCTAGGCCTGGGCTACATCAGTTATCGACAACCGTGACGTACGAACGGTTCAAAGTCATGGGGCCTAAACGAACCGCGACAAACCAGGGTCCATAGACCGAACCCGTTACGAGTCAATGGCCGGAGTAAACGCATGTCCTCACCTCGATCTTTCTTTCTTCTATCGATGCTGAACGAAGAACGATGCACAAATTCCATTCGCTTCGTTTTCGTACGTCCTAGACGTTACTGGAACGCGAATAAACTTCGGATTAACCCCTTTCACTGCGATATCGTGCTAGACTCGTGATGAAGATTTCGAATAGAATCTAACAAATATAAATGTCACCTGACATTAGAACTACCGAGCATTTAATATGATTGATATGTAATCCCTATGAAAATTCTAACAATAGATTATTTTCAGTTTCTTCGAACATTCGTTATAGCATTCAAACGAAATTATTTAATTTCGAAATCATTTCAAATATTCAATGTTTCTAAGGTATCGATAATTACGAAACAAGGAAACCGAAATCAGCCATTTTTACTGGCACGGTAGTTCTAGTGTTAACACACTCATATGAAAAAACGAGAATTCTCGATCTTAAAAAATAAGCGTTGATGGGAACATAAGATGGGATTGTACCTAGATTATATATTATATTATATATTAACTAGAGAAATAATTATCTTTTTAATACACATGTTTTGAAATGTTTTGATATCATTAAAATGCTCCATTTTATAGGAAAGATTTAGCAAAAATTGTCCGATGCGAATGTGTTAATTGTTTAGTTAAAATTTTGCTTTGGTTTTTCATTAAAATATATCCTAGGTGTATTCGTCCTGCGTTTGACGATTACGCACTTCATTTTTAGATTTCATTACTCACAAAACAAAGAAATCTATTAAACTAAATTCTACAGTTAACAGGTTAACAAATACAGAGCTTTAGAGTGAATGTATACATAGAATGAGCATGGATTGCTTTTTCTAACGAATTTGTAAGCAATGACATAATTTTATTGATTGTTATTGTGGAACAAACGATAGTGCAAAGGGTTAACCCATTGTCTTATAGGGTAATGCCAAGGGAGATAGTCGTACAAGAAAATAGCCAGTTTAACCCTTTGTCCTACGATTTCTTTTACAGCTGTGCTTGGTAAAACTACTTTATCGTTAATAATTTAGTAGAAAAAGAAAAGAATATGATGACAATATTCTATGTGTACGATTATTCTGAAGGTTAAAAATTGATAATAGACAAGTAACATTTAATTTATGTTTAAAATAAATAGATAACATTTAGATATATCAAATTCAGTCTAAAATTTTCATCACGTCTGACACGATATTGCAGGAGAAGAGATTAATTATCTTTCATAGATAATTCATATAATTGCAATTGATATTTTTTTCATTTAGAGTATTTCTGGTGGAAATAACCAATTTAATTTTCTTACATAAACAGTTGATACAATTACAATTCATGTTTTTTTTTATTTAGAGTATTTCCGAAGGAGAGGATCAATTTAATTTTCTTACATGAACAATTAATAGAATTGATTTGAAAAAATTAATTTTGCTACGCAATGGAAAGAAAAACTTAATTTGGTTCATATTGTTTCCATAAAATTTTCTTTAATCGATTCATTAAGATTTTTTAACTATGACACGTGAAATAAATGATGGAAATCTCTTCTAATTAAAGCAACTGGGTTCGATCGTGTTTCATTATTATCCACTTAATAGTTTTCGCGAATATACAAATTTTTACAGTGTCAAGGGTACAAGAAGAATATTATAAATTTGCGACGTAAACTGAAGGATATTAGAATTTATTAGACGTCTGAAAATACTTTTTTCGGTATATATTCATACTTCATCGATGTTTATGTTTTAAAATGCACGAACTGTATGTATAATTAATGAACCGATCACAAAAAAAAGTATAACTAAGAGTTCCGTATTTAACGGAACGTAAGTTTCGTCCAGTGGCATCATCGTAAAGCTTGTTTTGCAGGTGTTTAATAATCGAGGATTTCATAAATTCACAGCAAATTTATTTGTGCATCGAACATAATAATGAAATAAATTGTTTAATAAAATTTAGTCTCGGTTTGATTTTCTTTTTTGCCTAATAGAACCGCGTCATTAATTCCGTGATTTTCTCTTTAATTTATGCTTCTGAAACTAGTTTATGAAAGTGTCAGTTCATCCAAACATCCACAGTCCATTAATCCTCGATAAACGTCGATAAAATCGACTAAACATTCGTTTAAACAGTCTACCAACTTTCGCCACCTTTGCAAATTCAAATGCATATTTAAAATCTGCAAATACTCTAAACGTTAATTTTAAACGTTTTTTTAGTTTTAAATTAAAGTCTAATAAAATATCTGTTAAATTATGTTGCTTTATTTGAAGTCAATAGAAAAATATACAAATACACGTGTCTTTAATTCATAGCCTTTAAGTCGAATGTTTAGTTACAGAGTAATACTGATTTCAGTTTAATTGTCTGGGGTTAACAATTTAAAAAATATTTTTGTACTATATAACAGAATATTTTAGAAAATATTTAGTCTTGAAATATAAGAATTTATTATGACTGTGTAATGTTTTATGTAACTTATAAAGAAATATGATTTTTTATGCTTGAAACGACTTAGATCACTTTCAAAATTGAGGGCACAATTAAATATCTGCAGCTTATTTCGAGTCAGGTTTCCAATTTATTCCTTTACCGTTCCCGATGTTAACTTCGGAAAATTTCCCTAGCGAGACGTTCCCCTTCAAATTCGAAATATTCAAAAAAGTCACGGTGAAGAGTTTATTTTCAACTGGCCGGCTTTTTATTATGATTTGCTCCACGGCTCTTGGCGTTACGAACGGAACAGTTTCTGCGAGAAACGCGTTTTGTTAATTGGCCGCCGGTTATACTCTCGAAATGGCAAAAAATGTAAATATTGTTTGAAAATTACAAGTAAGAGAGTCTTGAATTAATTACACCTGCCCCGTATTGGTAATTACGGAGCAGAATTACGCTCGTGAGCATCCGTGAAAATGCTTCTCGTTTCACGTGCGGTTCATTCTTACATCGTCTGACGATCAGCTTCCGGATTAAAAATAGTGCGTGAAATTATACAACGCGGCTCAAGTTTCTTGCTGTCCCGTTGCCACTGATTTTCTCTACGATCTAATACGCATGCTAGCCGTTAATCGCATTCGGTGGGGTGAACGGTGCAACTGAAAAACAAGTAATCATTTACGCGAAAGTAAATTTAAAAAATGTACGCGCGATCAGCATTCGAAATTTCTCGATTACGAATGGGGAAAAAATAGGAAACATTACCTTTGCTATAAGATATTTTTCGCGACTAGGGTAAGTGGGGGAGAAATGGCTCACTCTTTTTAATCCCTTGCCATATAATGACGTATGAGACTCATGATGAA